TAGACAAATAAATGTTAAATTTATATACATTCACTAAATCAACGACGAAGATGAACAACGTTGATGATAGTGATTAACATAATGGTAAGTTGTTAATTTAATCAATATTAAAACATTTTAAATTTCGCTCACAGAGACAATACACCCCGCCAAGCAGACGATATGTGCCAGGATGAATTGGAATCAATTATGTAACTCTCCATTTACGTGTATTCGAGGCTCAGATTACCGTTTGGTTGTGATTTGTATTACATAACTGGACAGTAACGCGAAAATAACAGTTAATTGGGACACTAGTTTGTGGTCAGTTAGTGATGGTGGTAAGCGAAGTAAGTGGTAAATTGGATATCCACTCGATCGTCTGCAGTGTATACGATGTTCTGTACGTCTGTCATGCGAATAATAGGCTCATGAACTGGTTGCTAGTAGGGCACTCTCGGTGGAAGCTGCTGGAGCCAGCATAATGGCGCAGAGTACCTGAGTGTACACTGCAGTTATGGCGCTCGACACTATCTCAAAATCGGTGGTGTGCTGATTCCTCCTCCCCTTAGCGTTCGCGCATGTTCAGTTCTTGAACAAAGCGTTCCTGTTGGACGATTGTTTGATTTGTTTTTTTTTTTGTTTTTTTTTTTGTGAAAGGCGCTATATAAATACTTGACGACTGACTCTCAGAATTATATCCATGTAGACATTTGCATTTCGTAGATAATTTTAATGTATCTATTATTGTGTTTTTAAATTGGAATTTCCAAGACACTCTTAGTCTTGAAAACGGCGGCAGTGCCCATAGAAAACTTCTTTTCGCACTGTGACAGTGCCGTTAAAAAAACTGCAGCCTTTGCGCACTTCGGCAAAATAAAAAAAAGTAGATTTTTACCCTCCGCTAGAAAACAGTATTTTTTTCGCACTGCGACAGTGCCGTTAGCCACGTCCGTCTTGGGTCCTCCAAATCGCGTCGGCGACCTTTCCCCCTAATATTGGAAACTATTAAAATTGTCCATTGGTAGAATATTGTTTTTTATTTTATAACCCACTTCTTTAACCAGTTGGTCTCTCTTGTGTCATATGTCTATCTATCTATCTGTATAATTGCTTTAATGAAATTTTTAACTTTTCAATATTGTAATAATTACTTAGTGATAAAAATTAGTATATTATGAATAATAATTAACAGTAAATTAATATAATCAATAATAATATTTTACGTATTGAAATCTAAAACTTTGGACACATAACGAGAGACGACAAACAACTGGGCTTAATGCTGACACGTAGAACCACCACCCAAGATTTTTTGATAAGGGCTACTTTATTCTAAACTTATTTATGTCTTTCTTAGTCGTAATACTCTTTCTTTGGCCTATTTAAATTGTTATTTTATCCTGCTTGAATAATTTGCAACTAATGGTAAATTCATTATATATTTTTATTTATATAATTTGTATTCAGTTTTAAATATTGTGTTGAATTAATTCATTTTGTATATTTAAAATTGAAATGTTGTTCTTTTCCTCTTCTGAATATATTTTTTTTGCTTGATTATTTCATTGGGGATACTTACAGTAGTCTAAATTTATTTATATACTATTAATTAATTAGTTTCATACTCCCTTTTGTCTTGTTTTACTGTGTGTATTGGGTCCCTAATAATCAGCTTCGGCTGGATTGACTAGGCCTACTCTCATTAAAGATTGTTGAAATAGATAAATTAGTAGCAAAAGCACACTTTTATATGACAAATCGTTCTATGTTTTTTAATATATGGAAGATCGTTGAAGATATATTGTCCCCTAAAAATGAAAAAAAAATCTTCTAAAAATAACTTTTAAATTAATTTGCTTATTTTGGCGGTAACATACAAGAACTTACAATTATACTATAACAAGAGACGAGGTGGTCAGTTTGTTTTATTTAAACTAAAAACACATTTTTTAAACAAAATGTTCGTCCTTCGGTGGTAAAAATACGATTATTGATGAAGTAATTATGAAATAAGTAGGTAACTAACCAATGTATTGTTATTTTCAAAGAGTTGATTTAACACCAACAATTATTCTTCTTCAAAAAGTAACATCTGGAACCTAATGGACAGCATATTGCTGATTCAAATCAGAAGCATTAAAACATAGTAGATTAGTAGAGGATGAAGAATGATTTATGAGATTCATATCTGTAAATTAAGTTTACCAGCTCATATACGTTCCTCTGAATAGGATTCTAATTAGCTTACACACGACACATGCATGCGTGCAAGATATGTTTATATTTTAGATCCAAAATTTTAATAAGATCAATTCTATTTAATAAAATTGTACTAAAAACAATTAATTAAATTATGTTTGGTACCCTAGTTCCTCTAACAATACGTAAACATAACCGGTTACATATAAAATAATAGATTTCTTTTAGCATAAATGTCGTAATTATTATGTTAGCAATTATTATATATTAGTTCAATCTAAATTTTCATAGAATTATAGTCAAGATCTTCAGCGGGAGTGCGTGAGTATGCTAAAGTTACAGGCTTCACATTCTTGAAATCCTCAGCGTCATTGATTGTTTCTGGAAGAGGGCGGTTCAAAGTTTCCGACAACAACAAAGCGACTAAACCTGAAAACAGTGACAGCGTAGCAAATAGCACCATCGGTATCCACGTAATGGATCTTCCCTGTGAATACCAAACGATAGAAGAAAAAAAATGTAATGGCGATGTAGTGTCAATATGGAGGACACGTACCCCCTTGTTGGGTCATCTCATTCGATCCGCTCGTATATAAGTAAGGGATGAAAACGATTTAAATAACATTTGACCACCCGCACCCACACTCATTCCAAAGCCACTTACGACTACTATTTTATCTAATAATTACTTACATATATGATAATAATAAACAAATAATAATAGTAATACAGCAAACATATCCATGTTAATAAACACGTTTTGTAATATTATTTTAGTAATAAAATATAAAATCAAGCCGATTATTCAAATCACTATTACAAAAAAAATCAATATTTTTCTTCCCATTCATTTGAAATAGGCATACACACACACACACACACACACACTCACTAAATGTTGAAACAACGGCTTTTTAAGGCCTGGGAAGTGAAATAGTGTTTAGCCACGAGAAAAATCATGGTGGTGTCATTACAAAATTCACGACAGTTGTGTGGAGCACTGTATTCAGACTTATCAAATTTTATTTGACAAAAACATGCGACATGCCTTTATATATTATAGTCATGATGAAATCACAGCATGACCATATATAGACACATTATGACTATCTATGGGCATACAACACAGTTTTTCTTTAAAAAATGACAACCTGGACAGAGCTTTGGTTTATGACAGCAAATAACTTGACACAATGTTGCAGCAAAGTTCAGAACGGTCAGAACTCAGAAATCCTGCAATGTATTTATCTTACCGTATACATAATAGAAGGCGCGCACATACCACCAATTTGATAATTATACTTATCAAATTGGATAAAGTAAAATTGCAGTAGACGCATTATAAATAATATTAGTAAGCGCAACAAAAATTATATAATAAATCAACAGTGGCGGATCCAGGAATTCGAAAGAGGTGAACCAGGGAGGGACATTCACAGGCTGAGGAGCCACCCACCTCATCTCCACCATGGTTGGGACTGAGGTAAGAACATTTATGGTTAGGGCATCTCTAGATGGCTAAAAATTACACTCTCACACTTAAATTTAAATATATTTTCTTTTTGTTTTTTAAATGAGGGTTGTGGGGGGGGGGGCTTGAATCTAACTCTGTTCGAAACATTCTTTATCCGAAATAGTCATAATTATGAAAAATGGGCATGAAAAACCAGATGACATCATAAAAACAAATATATGGACCCTCGCCTCAGCAGTCACTAAGACATACTCTGAGTCAGGTGCCGACTCGATGGAGTTTAATGTTATACCCAAGGAAGGGTGCCGATCTTTTGAAAGGTGGAGGGTAGGACATTTTGTGTGTCAACACCAACTTCGGACCCACCATGTTTAGGGCTGAGATGGGAAAATTTGAGGAAATAATACCCCTAGGTGGCTAGAAATGATACTTTTAGTAAAATTTATCATTATCACATCATCATTAGTCAAAATGAAGCGCCCAAAAAATCTTTTTATCAGTTATTTTGTGCAACCACAGCGATATTATTAATTGGTGTGTGATATAACATAGATGAGAAAGCTTAAAGCAATGTTTTTTTATGTACTTTACATACAACAACAAAAAATTGATACATATAAATATGAATATAAATAAATGTATATATACTTATATATATATACTTATATATATATGTTAATATATAAGTATATATATATATATGGAAGGAGTGGAAGGAGGCTATAATAAGTTCGGAAGGTGAACTACCGAACTTTAATATATAGCCACCAATTATTGATTTGCTTGAATTTTGTATTTTGAGAATTTTATCCAATTTCTTCTTGGTTTTTTATTTTAATCATTCTGTTCCCTGGTATGATAACTTAGGCCCTATCCTTTTTACTAAAATTGTTCTATTGTTTTAAAGTTATTGCAGGCTTACTATTTTACTAATCTGTTCCGGAGGTTTTCTGAATAAATTGAAATTAATTGAAATTGAAAATTGAATTTTGAATTTTGAGCAATAAACCAGAATTTTCTCCCTAAATCCTTAGAGTGAATATCGTCAAGGCATACTGCATGTGTTACTTCGTATAAATCAATCTTGTCAATTTTGGCCCTTAACCATTGGGATTTCTTTTTCTTCGTTTTTCGTGCATTTTTATAGGATTCCAATTCATTCATCATGAAACAATATTGGGAACATATCTACTGTTGTTTTTATTACATTTCTGCTGATTTCATATTATAAATGAATTTTATTTGCCTTGAAAATTATTGCTAGGCCTATAAATTAGTTATAATTCTACTGTAACTAATTCTGTCAATAAAAATAAAATTATGAAGAATTGTATGTCATCATTATATGAAAATATGCCAAAACCCCTATTTAAGGGACAATTTCACGTTTTGGTTAGTGTCCCCTGTATACTTGAGTATAGTCGTGTCAAAAGCCATACGTTGAATTGAATTGATCAGCCTGACTCTTTGCATGTCCGCTTTGCTTTCTATATTTGCAAATTCGGGCCCTTTTTAACGGGAATTCGACAGTAAGGAAGTTCTCCGGATTCTATCGTGTATCGAGCCCTAGTTCTTGGTAAAGTGGGAAATGCTGTCTGTCTGTAGATTCTTTGTCTTTGTGCAACTCTTCAAGCATTATTCCATTTGCAGTGTGGAAAGACCCAGTTCCTGATAGTTCAATAAAATGTGTCGAAATTGTCAAAATATGAGTGATAGAACAACGGCATAGCCGTATTCCTAATTACTTTGGTTCATAACACATCTGAGGCAGTGTCTGGCTTCCACAAGGGCATTTTCTAACTCAATGGAACGGAACAGTAGAGAAAATCCGATCAGAATGACAAAATAAACTAAGTATCCACTGGAAGGAATCCCAATATCTGCAGACGGATCCGTTTCGGCCTTCTAGGCCTCATCAGTGCAGCTATGGTACAGACCCAAACGAAACGTTCGACCAGCTTAGGTAGGGCCCAAACTGGTCCCACGACCACAATTGATTACAGAGCCAAACCAAGGTATATATACACAGCCCAGGTGTGAATGCAAATAGTGGAATACAGGCTATGCCATTGATGCACGGTAGAGATTGCATCTTTAGATCTCCGATCTTGTTCACAAATTCACGGACATTTAAAGATCATTATCTAAATGGAGTACGAAGTGAAAAAAATGTTAAGATGTCGCCCTGATTCAGAACACACAAACACTATCATTGAGTACCACACGTAATATGCAATCGGTTTATATTGTTCAATACATCAAATTCCACCATACAGCGTAAGATTGATAACATTTTAAATATCTACGTTGTTTTTATTTTCTGGAGACAAACATTTTTTTTTCTTTTTGACGAACACAAACTTGTGCTGGTCAATTAGTCAATCAATCAATCAGTTTATTGCATTTGCATCAATATATTACAGTAGATGGTCATCGCCAACGTAAAATTTCTACCAATGCAAATACGGAAGTCCAAGTAAGTTTAACTTGTATTGGGTACCGTGCTATCTTAAATAAATTCATTTAATTATACATTTTACATTCATTCATTTATTCTACACAGCAGTATATTGCGATAGAGTAAGATATTTTAAAACATTTAAAACCAGCAAAAAATGGTTTTCGTGGACAGAGATAACCAACCAGTGGTTTTACCTTAATAAAAAAAATTTAAAAAAACATATTCTTTTATTTTATTTACACATGGTGTACCGAAAGTTTGTTGTATGTTTATTGATACTCGCCATCATGCAAACCTTCAAGAAATATGTTTTTCAGAGATAATTTGTTACTTAGAGGGGAGATGAAATGATGAAGCCTGACGAGTTGAATACAAGTTTTTCAATTACTGTTCAATGAAAAGGGTGTCTTAAAAAGAGTAGGTATCCTCTCAGTTTTTAACTAAAACATAGATATACCTCTGTTAAAGTCAATGAGGTCAGATATTTTAATAATTGTTTATTGGTAAAATAATGGTGTTAAGTGCGCTAGTCTACACATATTGAAATAGATCGAACAGCTCGCTTTTTGAGCAAAAGAACTGTTTTGAGAAATTCTTGAGACACCGGCATCTAAATAAGAAAATTTTATTTTAAATATGGTAAAATAAGTGAATCATAAATGAATCCTAAAATAATACCTGGTACAAATGTTTGTTTAGTTTGTGTATAGTACTGATATTAACCGACTTACAATAGTTTTACACAGGTTTTGGGTTTCATGCAAATCTGTCATCGATGTGTATGCCTAGAAATTTGACAATAACACAATTGTCAAATTTACAGGTGTCTGTAATTCAGAGATAGTGTTACTAAAAAAGCATATAATTGGGTTTTTTTTCCAAGATTATGATGGAGTCGATTTACATGGATCCAATCAATTATTTAAGGAGTTATTGTTGACGGCATTACAAAACACATTTTGATTTTAATGTAATGTAATATATACTCGAGTCATCTGCAAAAAGAATAAAAGATAATAACTGTGAACACTTCACGAAGTCGCTTGTATGATGAACAACAGAGGTCCCAAGTATAGACCCTTTGGAAACCCGACACCCCATAAAAGCCTAATCGGATTACCATCGAAGTAGATCAATTGAGTCCTACTTGTCAAATAACTTCTGAATCACTCCAATGCCTTACCACGAATTCCATTGCAAGTCTAAAGATGGTAATGACTTTACATTATCTTTCCTGGTATTGTGTCTCTCAAAATGTCATCAGCTGGTTCGGTCTTCGGTTAGTTTTAATTATGTTTTACAAGTACTTACACAAAAAATAAACATTATGATTATTATTATATTACAATTTTACTTTGCTCAAAAAAGTGATGAATTACTCAAAAATTGTTCAGTCTGGCACTGCAGTTGGGGATGTTTAATCCAAAGGCCAACCCTTTGAGAGCAGACCTGCCTGGGTAAAGCAGCAATACCATCTCCCATTGACAATTCCAAGGGTTCGCCTCTCTCTCGAGAATCTTCCATGATTGTACGTCTTCTCGATGTGAGCCCTCTGATCTCTTGCCTTCCAATCGTTCCACCACGCGATTATGGCTTCATTTTCGTAATGGTATTCGCGGGTGTCATCAAGAGCCCTTTCTCCAGCTTTGATGGCGGCTGTTATTGCTGCTGTTGCTAGAGCCATTCTAAAATTATTGTAAAAAAAGTAGAACAAATAAATCAGTTTGATATTCCAACTGCGCATGTGCACAATAACATTTGTCATAGTCCCTAAGTGCAAAATACCAGGATTGTGCCCGGATTTACCGACCTAGCATCTTATATTTTTTTGGCTATCAGTCATTGCTGTGGAAGGCATCTAAAGAAATCCGCTATACTAGCTGATGGATATTATAGTATAGGCCTACTAACGGAGGGCTTTCATAAACTAGCCAACATACAGATACGATAACATATTGACACAATAGTTTTATGATATCTCTGTATGACATTGACTTTAATAAAAGCAAAGCATGTGAACACGAGAAGTGCGGTAGTATCACGTGTATTCTTGTGCACTACAAGCCATTCATGTATGCTCAGAAATAAGGATTTTAAAATTGTTTTAGCTTAAATACAAATATACCGAGATTAAACATTGGTTTTAACAACATTCAATATTTGCATTACTAAAAAACAAAAAAACAAAAAAAAAATTGAAGTATGAAGGTTAAGTTTGAGGTTCTAAGTACAGTTTCACTAATGTCTATTCATGGTCTTATAACTGAAGATCACAACTACCGATATATTCTCATTCAATAACCTCAAAAGCAATTGAACCATGCCCATGCACTGGTGTAATTATAAGGAACATGTTGCGGTGGACTGAACGAGTTTAACGAAACTTGCAGCTGAATTTAGTTGAAGTATCTTGATATTGCAATAATAAAGTGTTGATGCTATGAGAGCGTGCTGAAGTTTCTTTGCTGCATCTTCATTACTGAAAAAACGTCTGATGTGCCTGATATTTCAGAAGTGGAATTTACTGATTTGAATACATTAATAAATTATGTAGCTTGAAAGATTGTCTTGTTAAAGGTGACACCGACGTTTCGTGGGTATTAGGCAAAGACATTTTTTCGATAGTTTTTTTTTCGGAGTAAAATGAATACGCACTGTAAAATACTATAGTCTCCAAGTAGAAAATCAGAAAACAAGAAAACAGCACTAGAGCCAATAATTACGCCGATTACAAACCACAACTCTCTTTAAATATCAGCAGACCGAACATGAATGCGACAGCCAAACAAAAAATAAAGTATTTATTACGATTCTCAAGGTTCTTTATAAAAGCACAGTAAATACACACAATATTACAGCAGCTCAGATAAGGAAGGATAAGGGAGCAGTAAAAAATACGGAGGATGTTATTAGGTAAAAATGATAATCTAGAAATTATACCAATGCTTTTGGAAATTTTAAGTTCAATTTCAGTGATGTGTTTTTTCAAGGTTAAATTGTTGTCTAAATAGACAACAATTTAAATTGATGTCCAATCAGAAATGCTGATTGGACAGAGGGAATGACACAGTTATCAATATAAATCTTATGGGTTGAAAGGTCAATATTTTTTAATTTTTAAGGGGTCCCAAACAGGATCGATAGAGAGTTTATTCGCAGCAAGTATTGGGACATGGATATTGAATTGGAATTAACTGTACGAATAATGATTGGGTATTTTGAGAATAAAGAACGGTAGTGTCATCGGCATAGAGAAAAAAAATTGAGAATCCAAGAAGAAAGATGAATGTCATTGTTGTGTAAAATAAATAAGAGGGGACCAAGTAAAGAAGATTGAGGAACACCACAGGTAACTTAACTTAAATTTGAAATTGAATTACAATAATTTGGTAAATTGGGCACGATTAGAGGGATAACTTTTAAAGAGTTTAAATGCGGGTCCGTGAATTCCATAGTGAGATAATTTTTGTAAAAGAATATTGTAGTCAATTGTGAAAGATGGCGTTTTTCAAAAGCAGTTACAAGTTACAAGTCGATGAGAGCCATGGATGTACTGTGTCCAGATTGTTATATTTGCAGATAAATGCAAATGATCGATCGTAGTTTACTCTTTCCAAGGCATTCGAGAGTATGGATAGAATTGAGATAGGGCGATAGTTGGAAAGATCAGATTTATCACCAGACTTATTTATATATAGGGGTAACGCGTGCTAACTTCATCCTGTCTGGGAACACAACCAGAAGATAATGAGAGATTTCAGGTTGGGAAGAAAGCCTTTAAATGATTTGGTGACATGAGGAATTTTGGTAACAGGGGACAATCCAATTTCTACAAAGTACTTGTTAAATGCGTTGAAGATTTTTTGAGGATTGAGTCATTGTGCCATCACAATTAAGGGAAGCATCTGATTGTTGATTTTTCGATTTATTAGGCAGCGAATTAATGGTCTCCAGTAGTCTTGATATAATGTTGATGTTTGAGAAAAGTGTTATGAAAATGCTTATTCTTGGCACTCTTAATTAGAGAGTTTGACTTGTTACGGGATTGTTTGTAGGCTTTTTCCTTTCGCTTTTTTACATAGTTTTGAAGTGGGAAATGTTTATCATAAAGTGATTTAAGGTATTTTCAAAGTTGGTATAAGCTATATTAGGGTCTTGGGAATGAATAACATTGGGCCACTGCTGAGAAGACTCTTTATGACAGAATTGTTCTAAGGCTGAAGAATTAACTCTTCTGAAGCTCGGCATATTACTTTCTTCTTTATCTGACCTCCTTGCCCCATTAGAAAAAAAGTAATATTAAAAACAGGTAAATGATCAAAAATATCACTATACAGTAATCAATAATAATAATAATAATAATATGTCGTTCTTATATAGCGCTTCATGCCTTTACAAAACCTCTAAGCGCTTCAGATTACTACCCCGGTCATTGGATCAAACACATATTGAACACCAAATTAAATTATTAAATTAAATTATGTTATTATTCCATAATATTGCAGCTAGTAATCAGCGCAGTTGTGTTGGAAACTAACAGGTAATCCATTTAAGTTGTGATGTTCAAATTGATTGGTGATAATGTTATCTAACAGGGAAGCAGTATCCTACACTGGATAACACATACGATAATAATTTCTTCCTTATAAATTTAATGGTTAAGCTTTCCAGAAAGTTTCATTCAGATCATTTGATCCGTTTTTTAAATATTTAGTCTAGAAGGTTTTCTTTTGAATGGTCCTCATATCAACACCCTACTCCAGATCGTCACAAAAATGTAGTCATTTTTTACTAGACCTTGACAAACTATTATATACAATTTCATTTAGACCAATTGATTAGGTTGTTGAGATAATTACGTTTTGAACGTCAACAATTTAAATGACCATCAAATGTATATCCTACACTAGATCGTCACCAACACATACGATTGTATTCCTTTCAACTTGGTTGAACTTTCCCAAAGGTTTCATTCAGATCAGCTGACCCGTTTTTTATATACCTGATGTAAAGTGTTTTCCCTTCAATCCCTTTAATTGGTCCTCACATGCACACCCCCACTCTAGATTTACAATATTAGGAGGCGCCTGCTTGATATATGAGGCATGTTGTGGCGAAACGGTAAAGTTGTCGCACAGTCTAGTATTGAGTAAATGAGCTATAAAATATGGGAGCTCAAAAAATTGATAAAAAAAAAATCAAAATTTGTTTTTCACTGTAGGTCAACAGTTTAATGTCTTATTAATCATGTCCCAAAGTATTAGTTGTGGAAGTGGTTAACAAATTGTTTATTTAACGTTATAACAAATAACTTTGAAAGGCAATTACTCAAAATCCTGTTTATCTTGACTCTAAGAGTACTGTACTTTCACTTTCCAATAACTTATGTTTGAAATGTCCAATTTGAATGAATGACCTCTCATTTTAAAGATCACATACTCAGGTATTTGAAAATACCAATAACTTGAATTTAAATTTTTGCTACAACTTAGCCATTTTGCCACAACATGCCTCATATACTGTCGGTGCTTCGCAAAGTATGGAAAGCACCCAAGCATGGAAATTTACCAAAGTGTCGGGCGAAATAACCCAGTGCAAAAAGATAAAAAAATCCCACGATAATATGGAAGAAAGAAGAAAAAAGATCAGCTTTTCCGGCTACTGCTGGGAAAAGCCAATAAATCAGAATTCAAACAATGGCTTTTCCACATAAGCCAATAACGTTTTCTACAGAAAATGCTCACGCGTCTATTAATATATTACTCAAGGTAACTTGAATAATGCGATGTGATGAACTACTAATGTTAAAATAATAAAATAAAATACAAGAAGATCAAGTAATATTGAAACATGAAATAAAGTAAAACATATATAATGTTTCACTATTATAATTAACATTGCGTTTATTAACCTCACTACACTCCAGCTTGTCTGTCAGTATTTGCTTTCAAAATCATTTATCAAAACATCATTTTATAATTACCATTCATTTTTTTCATTATATGCCAATTTCGCTAAAACACATAATTGTCAGAAAAATAAAAATATTAATAACCGTCACTGTCATTGATGATAATTAACATGATGTTCCTTAATTAACAGCATAATTAATATTTACGCCCAGTGGTAGCGAAAGTCGAGGAGGGCCCCCGTCAGAGAGAAATGGCGCTTGTTTTCTGTGGTATTTTTCCTTTGTTGAAATGAAGTGATTTGAAAAGAGTTTTACTTAACAAGTACTGTTACTAACGCACAAAAAAAATGACTACGCTCAATTTTACTGTACTGTACTATAAAGTATTTAAAGTATGAATTCTCGCTTGTTTGCGTTTGTATTATATGACAATTTCTCGTTCAATATTTTGTAGATTCGTGTTTGTGTAAAATTGCTATTTTACGATATTTGAATTGACTTGACTCAAAAATGCCCTTAATGGTAATACGCCGAAAAGGATGGTGTGGCTACGAATTATTAATTCCAGATTTGTGCAGGCATGGCGGCCTGTAAATTGTAACAAAAGGTCTTTCTCAAATTAATATAATGATGATGATTAAGGCTAAAACGTCGGCATGTATTTAATAATTACGCTTATTATAACCTAGGTTCACCCTAATAGTTTATTTGAATTGCTGTTGAACTTTGGACATGTTGCAGTACTGGGAAAGTGTCAATTACGCACCTTACTGATAAACAAAACGAAACAAGTCTCATGATCTTTGTGAAACTTGTTTATCTAGTTTGCAAATATTGCATAATCACGGCTAAATACTCCTCAATATCTGATTAAAATGATAAATTTTCAGCAAAATGTCATACAAAATATTACAGGGACAAAACACCTTAAACGTAAATGAAATACAAAATCTGTTAATGGAAAGACCTTTGTATTAATTCCTCAATTCCTCCATCAGTCTTTTTGGACATTGTACTGGCCTTTTGCTTGTTTTTTTTTTTTTTTGGTCTTTTGCTTGTTTTTTTTTTTTTTGGTAACTTTTTCAAATGAATTTTATGCTTTTTATATTGTGTATTATTTTAATGATTGTACTGTTTTTTATATGAGATGCGAATAAATCAAATCAAATCAAATCAAAAACTGACAATTTTTAAAAAACGAGATTTTAGTCAATATCAAGGAACTAATAATTTGGAACATATTGATATATTTCAGTATGCTCAAATCCCACTAATTAACAAGTAATTAGCAACACAAAAAGGTAGTGAGAGACTAAAAATACAGTAAAAACCACCAGGAAACAGGGACAAAATCAACATGCTCCATATTTCTTAATTACTCAAAGCAATGTAAACATCAGTTGCTTCTTTTTGTCATGGTGGGGCAGTAGGTCTCAGTAATGCATACATAAGGCCGTGTTATGATAAAAAAAAATATGGCATTTATAGCAGTACTTATTGTCATCCCCTCATAGGTTATTATTAGTTTTAGTTTAGTTTTATCAAAACATCATTTTATAATTACCATTCATTTTATTCATTATATGCCAATTTCGCTAAAACACATAATTGTCAGAAAAATAAAAATATTAATAACCGTCACTGTCATTGATGATAATTAACATGATGTTCCTTAATTAACAGCATAATTAATATTTACGCCCAATGGTAGCGAAAGTCGAGGCCGGAGAGGAGGGCCCCCCGTCAGAGAGAAATGGCGCTTCCGCAAAGGAGGAAAGCAAAACCGCAAATCGTAGTGGAAAAAACAATTAAATTCTATGTAATTTCTACAGTTTTTGGGAAACTTACGTCCATTGAGCGTGCCTGTTAACTATCATTTTTCACTTTTATCGTTTATCTTATAAAAATGTACGTTCATACTCACTTTTTTAAAGGCAAAACTCCACAGTGTTCTGAACTGAATTCTTTGAAATCTTCGTGTGTGATATAAAAGGAAATCATGAAACGATGTGAGGTATACACTCTTTTATAGGCTGCAAAATCGATATTCATAAACAATAGTATAATATGATTGGTTGGTCCCGTCACGAGTCCGGGGTTATTCCTGTTCAACTTGCTTTAGGCCTACACGATAGGACTCATTTGTTTGTAATAAACATAATTTAGGGCAAAGTCTATAATCTTGATGGAGGGCGTATGACCTCGATGTTCTACGATTATCTGAAGATTGGGAACGGGACGCGAATTTTTAATTTTTTTTTTCCCTGGACGTTTGAGGCAGTGACATTGGTGGCGCTATAGATTCAATATTATATACTTTGAGTTCCTCTATAGGTAAAGCATAGAGAGTTGAGACATGAGGCGCTAGTCGGAGCATGGAGGTATAGCCTTCCGTGCATGAATGAACACAACGCCAATGTTATAGTGTGGTGATTGCATAAATAACAGACAATTGAAACAGAATTAATACAAATATTAATAAGAAAATGTTATGTCATTTGATAGTAAATATCTGTTAATTAACGTGTGTTTAAAATTTATAACACAATTCAAAAAAGAAATCATATTATGATTAATTATACGATATATAATATAATTATATAAATAACTGCTTTTACATTTCATTATATATAAATAATCGCTGTCGCAAAACCATTATATGCATATAATGCTTGGACTTCAAACTCATTATATGTCGTGTTATCGTGCCAAGGTCATTATATCTAAATAATGGTTTCTTAATGCCAATTATATATAAATAACCGTTGAGGTCGAGTGTCATTATATATAAATAATGACATCGTAGGAAGTCATGGTTTATAAATAATTCGTTATGCAAATTACGAAGTAATAAATATTCACCAGTGCTTAAGTTACAATTAGGGCCTATTTATATATAATGAAATCAGTACACTAATTATATATAAATAATGAAACCGTTAACGCAATTATTTACATATAATCTTTTAGACGTAAATGCATTATATATAAATAATGGGTGATCTGTTCAATTATATGTTAAATAATGAATTATATATAAATAATTGTGTTAAATAATAAATTTACACTTGTCACCTCATAGAGAGAAAGGCCACACAGGTTTGGTAGATGCCAGCCTATGCAGTGGGGTAGCTAGGAATAGCGTACATATAGGCCTACATTCATACTTGTTTATCAAAGCTCCCTGGTCTGGGTTGGCAGTATAACAAATGAATTTCAATTTTGAAAAACAAAAATTAAACATGAAAAATTAATTAATGTGAAATTTTTATTAAATTGAAATGAACTGAATTATACGATTCACCCGTTTAAAACTCTTTGATAAGCCTAACAAACAGGAAACCCATCATAATTTTAATTTATTTAAAGAGTATGCTAAATTGCTGAAGCCGTCTTCAAGGCGAAAATTCGATAAATCAAATCAAATGTATTTGATCATACCAGAGGGCCTGTCCACTGGCGGTGCGTCCAAAATTCACAAATAATATATGCCTATTTAAGTAATAAATTAACATTATCATTAATATTATCATTATTTTATTATAGATAATGATTTCTTGTTTTTTCTTCCTGCGTTGGTTTACTTCATTAACCATTGTTTTCTGCGGTATTTTTCCTTTGTTGAAATAAAGTGATTTAAAAAGAGTTTTACTTAACAAGTATTGTTACTAACGCACAAAAAATGACTACGCTCAATTTTACTGTACTGTACTATAAAGTATTTAAAGTATGAATTCTCGCGTGTTTGCGTCATTACGATAATATTTCGTGTCGAAATTCGATAAAACGGCAGTGAAGGTCGCCAAAAACCACTAAATTTGGTCATTTTTCAACTTCTTTTTGTAATAACTTCGCAAATACTTCATCGATTTTTTTTGGGAAAAGATAAAACTGATCGGATCGGAATTTAATAATCATTACAACAATTACAAATTTATAAGTTAACACCTTTATCGGACTTTTGATTTTTATCAAACCCACTCGTGTATTTTTTCAGCGTAAAAACAGTGAAATCTGCCGAAATATCCCAGCTGTCTTTAACATAAATCCCTCTACAGTCGAAAGTTGTAGGCCGGGAAAGGTCCATTCGAAAGCCCTTTAATTTGTCTTCTAAATGTATTCTAAATATAAGATTGATCGGTTGAGTAGTTTTATCGGACCAATCAGATTTATGAGAATCATCCAAAACTCCTCACCACATGCTTAAGCATTACAAGCATATGGCAGTCTGACGCTCACGTGGATGCAGAGCTTG